ATTGTCTGACATCTAATTAGACAGTAAAATAATAAAGTGGGGCACATTGCCACTTGAAGGGTTAGTAGGGTGCATGGACAGATAGTTTGATTAACCCATTGAGTGGCAGCACTCTCCCCCTGACAAGTGAAATTGTCTGACATCTAATTAAACAGTAAAATAATAAAGTGAGGCACATTGCCACTTGAAGGGTTGATAGGGTGCATGGGAAGATAGTCTGATTAACCCATTGACTGTCAGCACCCTCCTCCTGACAACTGACAAGTAAAATAATACAGTGGGGAGCATTCAGGCTGCTGGGCACATCGCCATTTGAAGGAGTGACCTTACATTTATGAGGCATTAACCATATATATTTGGATAATACCATGAATCTGGCTGGATATTTTCAACTATCCAACATACTATATCGTGTACATATCTGGCTGGATAGCAAAAACTATCCAACCTATCCTGTATCCAGCAGGATAGCAAAAAAGACTCTATTCTCTACACCCCTTCAAAGAACTTAAAGTAGGTAACATTTAGAAGAGGAAATTGCTTCTTAGGTGTTAATACTTAAAACATGAAATATGGGCAAGCACTCCACCATCGAGTTAAATATCGCAGTAGTTAAAGTGGGGAGTGTTAGGTAAAATATTTGCACCTAAATATGTCAACATGAAACATGGGCAGAGTCTAGCTAGACACTTCCCTGGACAAATAAAATTGTCCGGCATTAGTTAAGATAACATTTAATTTTAACAAAGTGCTGAAAATTAGGCTTATTGTTGTATTATTATTCATGCATTTTTAGGACTTAACTGTCAATAAATCAAGTTGCCATATAACACATCAAATTGACATTTTTATCTAAACCGACCCACTTATCTGTATATATATATGAATAAACATTTGAAACTTATGAAAGTAGCAGTTGATATTATTAAAGTCAATAAATTCTCTCAAGCCATGTTTAGCTGGGACGTGCTTAAGTGGGCACATGATATGAGGATTGAGTAGAAATGTAGAATGATGCCAATTATAAAGCTATATTATTCTAGACAAGAAACATTGTTACAAATTATCTGTCATATTATTCGATATATAAACTAGGGCTGAGTCAAATGCAAGCCTTTGTAAATTGAATTTGCCGCGACAATATTTGAATTAAAACGATAATATAAATTATCGTTTTAATTCAAATATTGTCGCGGCAAATTCAATTTTTAAGCCGGAACACATGGTTCAAAATTCACGAATGAAGATTGCAAATATTTCGTTTCAAAATTGCTCTATTATATAGAAAACATAACAATATTCTTACCTGTATGCTAGGCAATCATCCCTGATGTTTTATCCTCGTTAAAAGGCATCGTCTTGCCTTGAAATACTCATTTTTACAGGCAACAAAAAATCAAAATGAATAATAAAAATTTCGAATAAATATGGCGGCGTCAGTGTGATGACGCTATCCCGGGAGGCTTTGCGCGTGTTGTCGGAAAACTAGGTCCCAGCCTGTCCGTGCGAAACCGCGCTCGTCGATCGTGAGAATTTTCGTTTGCATGTTTATATGTCACACGACAAACACTGTAAATATTTTGTGTAAATAGAGTTTCCATGAACTCATGAAGAATTTAAAATTAACTCGGACGGCAAAATTTTGACCAGGTAAACTAAATAAATACAATTGAAATATAAAATCAATATCAAAGTTTAGCCACTATCACTGACACTGTCTCTGTGGTGTGTTGACTAAAGGTCTCCCCTCTTTACGAGTAAAATCTAGTGTTTGACTGAGTAAAACAACAAAGGCCAACAAAGGTATGGATGCATTACAGAAATAAATTACATGCAGAATTGGATAACAGAAAACACTGCCAGATCAGATTTGACCAATTTAGAATGGGTTACTGATTTGACCAATTTCGAATTGGTTATGGATTTGACCAATTAAAAAATTGGTTATGCATTTGACCAATTTCCAATTGGTTATGGGAATTAACCAATTAATAATTGGTTACCCATTTAACCAATTTACAATTGGTTACGGGATTTGACCAATTAAAAATTGGTTATGGATTCGACCAATTTAAAATTGGTTATAGAGATGACCAATTTAAATTGGTTATGCATATGACCAATTTTAAATTGGTTGGGGATATGACCAATTTTTATTGGTTATTTTGGGAAATTCAACATTGACTGATCAAAAGAAATTGGTTAAATTTACCATTTTAAATTGGTTAAAAATTCAACCAATTATGCATTGGTCGAAATGACCAATATTTAATTGGTCATGTCAGACTAACCTATTCTTCAATTGGTTAAAATGACCAATTTAAATTGGTTGCAACCAATTTAAATTGGTCATTTTAACCAATTTGTTTTTACTGTGTATTCCACCGCTATATTGTATAAATTCTCTGGGTCCAAATTATGGGGTTTTCGAGTCGTTACACAAAGAAAAACACATTAATTCAACACGCACGAAAGTCCAGAGTGCGACAGAATCTATTTCGAAATAGGAAACCGGCACAATTTATCCACTCGATTTATCCACTAGGAAAAAATCCCAGGAAAAAACAGGAAAAAACAGAAAAAGAGGGATTTAAGGCACTTGGCCTGAACGCCAGTGTAATAACATGAATCAATGAATTTTAAATTTTAATATAAAAAATGTAATTTAGATTAATAGACGTAGCATATGATTTAGAACACTGATGTAAAGAGATATTAGCCGGGTTTAGCGTAATTCCGCTCTTCAAATGTGCAAATGAATTGCATTTCCTTAAGACTGAAATTTCTATAGCTACAGGGCTTGTCGGGACCTTACTAATTCTGAATATGGAAAAATCCGGAATTCAATAACTGTTTCTATTATTGCATTTTCTTTAATTAATCCTCCGACACACAATGTGTTGTAGCTTGAAAATTCAATGGCAGAAACTGGGTTTTTTTCAGAAGGAGCATGCAGTGCATGAAACCATTTTATAGTATAACAGTGAAAACAAATTATTATTGCAAAACTCGTTTACCTTCTACAGTATTAGGATCTGTCTAGAATGGAAAATAGTTCCAGAAAGAATAGTTATTCTTCATTTTTTGTTTTTTTTTGTTTTTTGTTTTCATACTGCTGTATCAACCTACGGCTATTCTTTTGGTCGTGTCATTTTCTTAGCTGTTACATAGGACAATCAAAATCTTAGTAACTGATACAGTACGTAAAAAATAAAAAACTAATTATATGCCATGTTTCCTAATCTAATTTCAGGATGTATACTCATCAATAATAATGAAATTTGCGGATGCCCTCCATGTAAGTATAAAGAGTTTGATATATCATTTAGGATAACAACAGTGCCATGCAGTCTGCCATTTAGTGATTATTCCATTTATATCCTTTCTGTTTTTTGAGGTCGTAATTAATTAATGTTCTTTTTGCAACAGTCCCTACACTTTATCAACACATTAAGCTGGTTTTCTATTTGTAAGAAAAAAATCTTATCAGTAGTAATATAGGTACCCGCAGGGGAGCTACATCATTATGCATGAAGGTAAATACTATGCAAGGGGCCGAAGGTGGATGCATCGTTATATATGCAGGTAATTACTATGCAAGGAGATCCCATGGGGCCGCATCATAGTTATGCAGATAATTACTATGCGAGGGGGCCGCATCGTTACGCATGCAGGTGATTACTATGCAAGGGGTCTCAGGGGCCCGCATCATTATGTATGCAGATAATTACTATGCAAGGGGCCGCATCGTTATGTACGCAGGTAATTACTATGCAAAGGGTCGCACGGGGCCGCATCATTATGTATGCAGATAATTACTATGCAAGGGGGCCGCATTGTTATGTATAGGGTGTCCCAAAAATAGTGACATTATAGAAATTATCTCATTGTTCGTAAGACGTTCTTAAACGCGCATGATTACACGCCTGGGAATTTAATGAACTTGTATTTACATTTAAGCATTTTAAAACGTTTTCGCTTTGTCCAAATATTTTAACCCCGAGTTAAGCAAAACGATTACACTAATAAACGGTTTGCTTTTTTATTTTAAATTCCAGAAGCAGAGGTTTATGCACCTGTGCGATCAACTTAGTGCTAGGGCATTCAAATTATAACAATAGGATAATTTCTATAGTGTCACTTTTTTTGGGACACCCCGTATACAGGTAATTACCATGCAAGGTAATTACCATGTAACTATATTTTGCAATAAAAATAAATATGTTTTTATCAAATATGGGGACGTTATATACGTTGTTATGCGGGCGTTATATAAGTTGCTAGTCATAAATTAGCGACACTTGGGTGCATGCATATGTTAATGGCAACATATTGCACTAGGGTTAGGCAAATCGCGCGGGTGGGAGGTAAAGAACGTGCTTTGCAGGTAAAGTTTGCACAAGATATCAGTTTCAAAATTCATTTATTTCTTCAAAACGTTTTACCAAGTTATGCTTCTAATATATATCGTCAATCGTTTTAAACGTTCCACTACCCGATTCGTCATCATAGCTGCTTTCATCATCGTAGCTGCTTTCATCATCCTTTAAGATCAGCAACTTGGCAACTTGCAAGCCTTGACAACAAGCAAGCCTTGACAACTTCTCCTCCGTGAGCCTTTACAGATTCTCCAATATTTTTACTTGCAGTACATCTTGACGGACTTCTCTGGCTGCTTATACTGCTCTTTTGCCAACAACATTAGCACCTTGTTTGAATATAGGGATAGGATATCTCGCAAGGCTCTTAAAAATTCCACCAAGCCCATAACCTCTTGGAAAACGTGCTCCACGCTGTCCCAAGAAATGGTCTGTCAATAGTTTTTCGTCTACAAGAAGTGTATCCCTTGGCATATTGATGTGTTCAGTTCAAATTGACACAATCAACTGATCAAATACCATTTTGTTCATTTATTTTTTGGTCAAAAAATGCCTTTTATCAGTACTAAAATCTATAATTTCATCACAATGACAATGTGGGCAACTGGCGGCTACATGCGTGAAATTTCCATCGGACAGTTGAAAATCACAGACCATACAGTGACACCTTGTATAATTGGAATAAAAGTCTGTCCGTGCGCATACAATGCATGTACCAAAATGGAAGATGCTTAAATCTTTGTTATAGCTGTTACAAGCTGTGTCCTCGTCTTCAGACTCGTCATCATCGGATTTATCAGACTGTGTATCCACATCATGTAGTGCCTGCTTGTGCGCTAGCATTGTAAGGACACATCCATTTACGATTAGGCTTAAGAAATATGTGCAGTCCACCGGTTCTGGAATTTCGTATTATATGGTAAAACAGTATATTGTAAAAGATCTACAATATTTATTCCACGTATATTCTGTCCTTTGTATACAATTTCTCCTTGAAGATTCTATGCGAGAATATCCGTGGATGTGAGAATGCAATGAAGAAGTTCTTCAGCATTGCTTTTATCAACATTATCGCTTAAGTGTCCAAGTATATATATCTTCAACGCACCAATGTCTCGGATATTTTCTTTCCTTGCTGTCTATTGTTGGATTCACGACATGAAATAATGATGATTATTTTATACTAATTTTGCAAGGCCCTCTAAAAGCGGCACAAGCACCAATCCTAGAAAGCCACCCCCGCGCTGAACAATAATTTTCATTCTCTTTCTAAAACACCTACTTCTGTCCGCCAAGTCAGCGAGATCGTCTTTAAATGGTCCAAGTTTGTTCAATGTTCCTTTAGGTTATGCAAAGTTTTTCAAGCAATTACACAGAAAGCGAATCTGCTGATAAGATGCTGAAATCAACAGAGCTTGTTGTTGAATTGGATGAGAAATACACAAGAACTCCACAAACGATCTGTGTTTGATATAACTGCTTTCTCTGTTCGGCTGTCAACAACGAAATGAAGATTTAATTGGAAATAACACATATAAAAGTTTCGGCTCGCCCTCAATTGGCTAGGTCTGGACTATATATAGTCTTAATAGTCATGTCTATAGTCTTAATAGTCAAGACTATAGTCTTAATAGTCATGGAATAAGTCCACAGTCCTCTTTAACCTTACATAAAATATCGACACCAAATGACACCACATCTCCGTCCATATTACAGATCGTTCTAGAACGTTTAAACAGCACAAGAAGCGCAAGAATTGCTATTTTCCCTCCTCCAACCTAATCCATATTACAACTTTAATTAAACCATGCTTATAAGGTTAACAAAGAAATGATA